GCGGAACCTCCTCGTAAAGTCGCGCCGTTACATATGTGACGCATTTTTTTTTTTTTTTTTTTTTTCAAGCACAACCGACATCGTCATTCTCCCGCGATCTTTCGATTTAGGTTCGCGTCATAATTCGGAATCTCTAAATGTCGAAGCGTTTAATTTACCGTCGCTTGATGAAGCCCGCGTCCGGTTCGTAAAAGCAACGGGCGAAAAGGAGAGCTATTGATTTTTAAATGCGCGCGTTGTATATAAAAAAACTAGAAACACATCGCATCGCGGTGAGAGAACGCGTGTTGTGCAATAGCGTTTTTTTATTTTTTTCTTTTTTATTTATTTCAACCGGCGATGCAAGAGTGCTTCTTTGAATGTTTTGGAAGAAGATGAAATTCACGCGCGACCTGTATGAATAAAAAATAACTACCATATCGAGAAAAAAACGGCGCGCGCGCGCGCGCGCGTTTGTAATTCGAGATACGAGTAAGAGAATTGTCGCGGAATTGCGAATAATAATTGCATACATTACTTGCGATTTATCTCCGTTAGATGTTAATGTCACACATTCGCGGCGCGAATTAATTAACGTTGAAAATATTTTTCGCGCATTTTATCGCTCGCTCATCTGCGCGACGCGAGCGCGGTAATTTATTCATGAAGAAAGTGATAACGCTCTCCGCTCGGTAATGGTCTGATAAAATTCCGCGTTCCCGGTGATTACGAAACGCGGAAATTGCACGTTGAAACGCAACTGACACGCCTCGTCGTCGTCGTCGTCGTCGTCGTCGCCGCCGCCTTTTGCACAATAGGCCAAAAGTTCACCTCGTAATAATAACTCGGTTTTTTTTCGAGAAACGCGGATAATTTGTAACCGCGTTAAATTAAGGAAAAAAAAAAGATCAGCTCCCTTTGCCCTGTTTTCTCCGCTCGACGTAACAGAAAATGACCGCTAATGAAATTGCTCGTCGAACTCGTCGAGTGGCCGAGCGGCGAGGCGGAAAAAAAGGTGTCGAGTGCACTTTAGAATCCTCTACGCGCATTAACGAACACCGGAGATATGGGGCAAACACGATAGCTTCCGTACAACGTTGTAAATGGCGCGTGGGAGATTCCGCCGTAAATCTACACTCGGGAAAATTCGCTTCGTTCATCAGTGAGAGGTGTGAGTTCGGAAAACGACTCCCGGTGCAAGACAATTCCCTAGATTGGAGAGGATGGCGTTAAAGGTCAAACAATAGTATTGACTCGATTAATTTTAAACCTGTGTTTTATCTCTCTCTCTCTTTCTAACTTTAAAGCAGGTACTATCGTTGAGTGTTATTCGGTATTATTCATTCAAATGCTTTACTCTTTACACACACACACACACACACATACACAACGGAATTTTCTCACGTATTGCGGAATATTATTTACCTACCATTACAGAGAAAATATTCAACAAAATTTCGCGAAACAGATATTCACCGGGCGAACATATAAGCGCGCGCTATATATAAAAATATATTTATATATTTCGAGCGAAATTGCAAGAAAACTACGTGATACGGAAAATAATAACAGAATGGTAATGTTAAACGGAGATGTAATACACGCTCCCTCGCTTTACACACACACACACATATATAAATACGAAGAAATTGGGTCGCCGCTGAGAGAAGAATTCCGGAGAGCCCGGAAGACAATTGGAGCTCATCTCGCGGCGAAAAAAACGGCAAAATTGAATAAGAAAGCGGCCGCGCCAGCAACAAGTAAATTGCTCTAGAGCACTCTCTCTCTCTCTCTCTCGTAGTGAATGCACGAGCGGAAATCCCGTATTAAGCGCGATCGTAACGACAAAAAGCCGTGCGTGGGTGCGAAGCACGTTCTCCGTTTTCTACATACCTACAATTTCCTACAACGACGAAGAGAAAATCGCGCCAAAGAGAAGCCGATCTTACGTATTCATTCTCCCGAGTTGCTTGGAGGCTTTTTGCGCGTTTGCGATCGCACCTCACGAGCGATAAAGAGAAAATATACGTCAGCGGAAAATTTCGCTGCTTACGTCACTCGAATCGGCCTCTCGTGCTTTTCTTTCGCGGCGCGCGTTTGTTTGATTTTTTGCGACGATGCCGCGAACGACAGGCTCGCGTGCGGATTCGTTAGCGTCGATGCGCGGACGGCCTCGTAGAGCGAAAGTTTGTTCATAAAAGTTTGCTCGCGGAATCGCTCAGATTTTGAAGGGGAGCGATCCCGAATATCCGAGCGTTACCGAAGCGCCTTTGCTATGCAGAAGAGAAATGAAGAAAGTTGAAAATTCAGGTCCTCTCGCGAAATGACTTTGGCGATATTTTTATAGAAATGTTGAGCAATGGCGCGCAAAGTTGCGGAAGATCAAACTGATGACTGAAAACTTAATACTGCTTGTCATTTGTAACACATTTGTGTACGTGTATATGGCAATACGAAAAATACGAAAACAATTTTATTTGTCATTATATTTACCACATCATTTGTCAGACGTAAAAAAAATTCTTATTTGTGCGTGTATTTTTGTATGTTGATCGTCGCGCGTCAGCAAATCGAATTTTTTGCAAGTCTTGTACATACGTACAATACATACGAACATTTTTTTGTGTACGTTGTGAATTATTGAGCTGGTAGAGAGTAAAATTGTGATCCTACGTGATCTTACGTGATGAAAGTAATGGGGATCCTGATGTAGTCGGTTTGCAGTCATAAGAAATGAATCTTTCCGCTTATTCGCACGATTTTAAGACCGTTACCGAATATTGAGGAAAACAACAAGCTCATATCACACATGGGCTCGATGAAATTTCCAACAATTGCTCAGATACAGACCTCGATCCTCTTCTATGCGAAAGGAAGTTCACTCTCGCCGAAGCAAAAAAAAGAAACGTAATCTAGACACATGATATTATACTTTTATAAACGGAGTAAATTAAAGTCTTCTGTGTGAGGGAAAGAAAATTGAGATATTTGAGAGATTAGAGAAAAAAAATTGTATTAAAGTTTAAATGAAACTCATAAGTTGGACGAGAAAAATTTCTTCAGTAAAATTTATTATATTTATTTAAAAAAAAAAACAAGTAGAAGATTGTTAAATTTATTTTGAAAAAATTAATTAAGCAAGATTATACAATTAAAGAATCACTTAATGAGAATGAAATAAAGTGAAATATCTTTTCAAATATGCGCTCTCTTTCTTACATTAATGTAAATAAAAAAGATGTGAAGGCGAGAGAAGAAAATAACGATGATACAGCACAGAAATTCCGTAGCTATCGGAAAGCCGAGAACAAGCAAAGAGAGGAGGACCGAGCGTACAAACATTTTCAGTAGCACCGGCGCGCGCTGAGAGGTGCACACCGCGTGCAAAAGCTTTCATCTCTCTAGCCGGACCGGACGAGGACACCCGCCTTTGGAAAAGCGCGGACGTGGCGCAAAGAGATTTTCCACAGAGAGAAGCAGAACACACGCAAAGAAACGGCTATATGCGCGATTAAGTTTATACGCAAGAAGGATCAAGGACGTAATTTTTGTGTCGCGGGTGCGCACGTGTCGCTCGAGTTTCTTTGGCCCTTTTAATCCGTTTTTCAACACACAAAGCGACCAACGTTGTTCTTGATGGATCAATTTCATTTATTCATTTCGCAGAAATGCCCAGCGTTGAAATTAATATTGTTAGTTTATTTAAAAAAAAAAAAAAAAAAAAACAAAGAAAAATTGAAGACATTACGATTTTTGTTCTCTTTTTTTTTATAGCGTGTCATCTTTTTTTATCGCGATCGTTCTGTACCAAAGATTAATTCGAAGATAATTCTTTAAACAACCGAAAATGCTATTCGGATCTCTTTTCGATATCGCGTTAAATATTGTGCGATATGTACGATTATGACGGTGTGGTAATATATATTAATTTACAATCAGTAGATTTTAATATTCAGTTTTCATCATACGTCATTACGCGCGAGAACACCGCGCGCCGCTCATACATGTATATTTTATAATTTTATGACATTAAAACTCTCGTGCCTTTGGTAATGTTTAGTTGTTTGAACGTTTGAATTACGCAGCGCGCAATTAGCGCTAAATGAAGCATACGCTTTCATTGATTCGAGAGAATGAAAATATCGCGTTGAAGCGTGATGATCTGCAATTTTAATGCGACTTCCGCGAAGGCAACAACCGATCCGCACAAAACAAACGCGTACGAACGACAATCTCCCCCGCGGGCGCGCTGACATTGATCCCAAGATTTTGCCCTCCCCCCGTTGATACTATCTGTCCTTAATCGCTCACGATCCTGTCACAGATCTTGGGCGTAGGGTCAGATCTCGAACGGGTGTATTGGGAATCGTCTATCGTTTCTAAATGGGCCGGATCTCTCGTATTTTCGAAGGGATCGATGCCAACTGTTGAATATTCGATGCGCGAGGGTATCCACGGGAATAAAAGTGATCGTTAAATAACCGGTTGCGCAGTCCGGACACGATCTATCGATTACCCGTCCGAGTTTCCCTACCCTGATTCGATTCACGCGGCGAATCGCGCGCGTCGCAACTTCGCCGCGGCTTCGGCGCGTAATATAATTACGAACGTTTCACTGTACAATATTATACGGATATTTCAACGTATCTGCATAGTTTTACATTTCATTACGCCTAAAAATACTACGATCGGAAGGGAACGGCGGCATTTCGTTCGCATTCGATATAATATAATCGGCGCGGCGGTAACTGAATTATATTACAACCGCGAAAAGTTTGTTCTCGTTGAGCTTCGGTTCAACGTGATTCAAGTTTCATTTCATAAATCGGCGCCTGTCAACAATCGATCGCGTTTGTTTTAAACGCGCGTGCGATTAATCTGTTGCGTTGAAAATGCGACGTTTGAAAATGCAAAAGAGTCGCGAACCAATTGGAATTCGCGAGCAAAAAACCGAAAATGTGTATCGAGTTTCGGCAAATATTAATTTAACAACAATCAAAATTCCGTCGATATAAACCTACCTTCCTCATGAGCGTTATTACGTTGTTGCGCAACATCCTGACGGTTTCGTTTCCCGGCTATGAAGAAACGGAGAAGGTCCTAAATCCCCGGTTGCGTGTCTCTCGCCACTTCCTGCTGACCGATGTTAACGACCTGCCTGCGCAATGGCTCGTGTCAGCCTCGCTGCTTGTTTCACGACCTTGACTCACAACAGCTTCCTCACGTCTTCGGAGGCGTTGAATCTCGGTTGGCGATAGCTGGAGCCATGCGGCTCGGCCACCTGCTGCGAAAGCATCTCCTGCGACCGTCGCCTCTCGCCCTCAAAGTGACATGGGACTCTCTCTCAGGTGTGGCAACTTGATCCTAAGAAGAAGAAAAAGAAGAAGAAGAAGAAGAAGAAGACAATTTTCAATAACAAGCAATTGGACAGGCATTTTGTCAAACAACAAAACTGGGTCAAATCTGTGATTTATAATCTGTCCCTCGCTTTTTGCGACTTTACGCTTTAAAACCGGACTTGATAAATGATGCACTGTGAACCACTTCTGTCCTGAATTATGAGCGTTGATCACGATATAACGAATTCAGCGATCATCATCAGAGCGTTTTAGTACGGTCATGAGACCAATTTCCGAGCTTATTTCGAGAACATCTCGTAAATGGGTTTCTATTTTAAATGCAGTATTGAGGTTTTCGGAGTTTCTCGCGCGCGCCGTATACCACTTCGTAGTTAAACGGCAACAGCGCTGCTCTCGCGGGTTAGCTGCCGAGTTGCTTTGAGAGGAATGTTTGGCTAAATGTAACCTCGTTAGAAAGTTTCGACGCAAACAAATATTTGTCCACGCAAATTAATATCTGGCTTTGTTTCTGTCGCGCACTGAATATTACCCCAGGACGTGTGTGCAAAACGCGTGCGCACATCGCGAGGTGATTAATCTCACTTTTCCAAGCGACAAAAGCGATACTTTGAAATAGATGTGCGTATAATAGATATATGGAGAACCGCGCGTTACATTAATAGTTCAGTTCTCTGAATATCTCTTTCTCTCTCTCTCTCTCTCTCTCTCTTCGATGTGTTTAACGAAATTATATTTCTTTATTAAATTTTACGAGACAAAAAGTAGAAAAATATTTTCTTTATCAGCGAGATTAAATTTTTCTTGGAGAAATGTAAGTTTTTCGTAAAAAAATCGTGGAATTGTTAGAAATCGCGATAAAACGGGGAGGTGAGACTTGTGACAACTTTGTTTTTTCTTCCGTTTCGCGCGCTATATAGTTCCGAACACAATCGCACACAACACGCGTGTTAATAAAAAAAGGAAATTAAAAAATTTATATAAATGCGTAAAAAGTCAATTTCTGGCAAGCGCAGAAGATATAGGTACGCGCGAGATTTCTCTTATAATTCTCTCGAGTACGCGTAGTGTCTACGACGGAGGCGTGATTACGAATTCAAACTCGAAAATGTCACAGCGTCCAAAACTAATAATTCAGTTGCATGAATAAAACATCGCTTAAAGAGAGAAAGAGAGAGAGAGAGAGAGCAGTATATATTTAGAACAAATGTAGCTTTTACATTAATTTCACTCGGCGATAATCCAAACGCGAACTCTCATTCGAACGTGTTTTAGTTAACAAAAATGCAATCAAATCGAGCAGATTTGCTCCGCAAATTCGCCAAAATCCAAAAAGAGACCAATACAAAATCTATTTATTTGATGCGGATAATGTATCCGAAATTTGTGTGCCTCGTTGCAATTTACAAAATGCAATTTTTCTCTTCGAAAATTAACGAAAAGGGGGGATCGAAGACAAAAGCCCGGTGAATTTAATCAACTCGCTGACGCGCCTCACAGCGCGTGCACTTCCTCTCGGTTGTAATTTCAATCAAGGAAATCACCCACGCGGCAACTAAAGGCCCTTAATTCCCGCGGGCATAGTTGACCACGATAGCACTGTAATTACGAATTCAAACTCCGTGTGCCGTTGCTGTCGAAACTAATAATAAATTTACACGAATTAACGTAGTGCGCGCGCACTACACACGTTATTTTAGACGTTTCGCATGTCGCGCTGTCAGAATAATCGCAACTAATAAATAATTCTTTTAATCAATAAGCTCTTGTTCATGCAAATCCGGAACTTTTATATTGAAAGTTGGTCAAGTTTACCAAACTTTTAATATTGGTCTTTTTTCAAACAAAGCTAATTTATTGATAAAATCAACCATGGGAACAAAAACAATACAGCTTTTTATCGAAAAAAAAGTGCTTCTCTATAGCGTTAATTACGAGAACGTGTTAATTAACGCCTACTACAATCGAGAGGCTGTTGTTGTTGGTTCAACGCGATCTCAACAGGCGCACAACAGGCGCACACCTGATTCCAGTGCGGCGGAAAACAGTCGATCTCGCGTCTCTCCCGCGCACTTTGAAAGCCGCAGTCTCTTCCACGTCGCATTCCGTGGATCAGGCAATTAAGCTTCCGGTCGTGCGGGACGACGAGACAAATTTCGGGTGCACCCGAGTTTCATGGTTGCGTAAATCATAGTAATTGCAATGTAAATGGCTTCGTTAACCCTTTCGCTTGGTGATATTAACGCAACTCTGCAGTCCCGTCGTCGTCATTCTAACGTCGTTGCGGCCGGAATTTGTTATCGGGCTCTCGTGCGGTTTAGGGTTTTCGCATAATGTTCGCTTTCTATGCAATTTTGCGTACGCGAAATCGGGGAACAAACGATACCGCAAGAATGCTCATTAACAATGTAAACGCACGCTATGTTTGATCTCATTTAGCGGCGGAGAACAAAATAAAATCTCTCTGCTTTCTTTTCGAGGAACAATGCAACGAGACGAGAGAACTTTGCATCGCGTAAAAGAAGCTTTCTTAGCGATAAAGGAGAACGTTACATTGGGACGTGGCGACAAGATGATTATACTAATTTTCAGAAAGTAAAGAAGCGAGTGAGTGAGAGAAAGAGAGAGATAGAGAGAGAAAATACGGGAAGGTATTACAGAGAGACAAAAAAGCGATGCGAAAGGGATGGAAAGGAGAACGATCGTGGAGTTGAGGGGAGAAAAACGAAAGTAAGGGGCGGTATGGAACAATGAGCGGAATGGAATTTCAAGCGCTCCGCTCGTAATAGCTCCGCGTATATTAATTTATCCCATAATGATCCCCGTTGAGACGACGCCCCGGGATAATATCCGTCGAACGTGGGCGTCTGTCGCACGGACGTGAAGCTCGGGAAGCGAACAAAAAGCAGTTTCGGTATTCGTCAATATTAATTGCCGAAGTTAATATTCACATCGCGCGGTTGACGCGCGAAATTTGAAAGTTGGAAAATTCTTTCCCTCGCCGAGCGCGGAAAGAAAAACGGCAAGCGCGTCGAATAACACCGTAGCCATTTTGCAGATTCGTTAAGAATGTTCCGCTGGGGGATTAAGTTCCACGAGAGCCACGTTAATTAAGCGAGAACATAGGCGGGCCCCGCGCGCGCGCTCGTATGGGCGGGAGTGTGTTAATGGCCAACATTTCTCGCGCGCTCGCGTCAAATAAAAGGCGACACGTGGCTTTTGATCGCACTTTTGCCGTCCCATCTCATTTGAGATTGTTCCATCGTGTATCTTGTGTCTCTTGCGTCATTATACCTTTCTTATATCCTTGAATAGTATAGAAATAATTCAGAGTAGAGTCATTCTCTCTTTGAAAGATTTGAAATTTTTTCTCGCAAGGAAAACAATATCACGCTAAATAATTTATTATTTATAAAAAATGAATCTCTTGTGAGTTGACGAACGTTGTGAGTAAATTGACGTGTTCCGTCGCGAATTGCGACACAATGTCCGCGACAAACGACCACCTTCGGCGGCCGATCAGAGACAAGACAATCTATGAACCAATAATCTAGTTCAAGGGAGCCACCGATGACGTACGAAGCGGGGACAAAATTATCTCCGGATCAGGAGATCGGTCGTGTTCGCGGAACGTAGAAACGAAATGCTGTCTACACAATACTCGGCACAAGGACTCGTCGTAGATTCCAGCCGCGTTCGCGGACGCAACAATGGTCGGTATGCTTATAGAACTTCACAGGAGATTCGATTCCGTATATATCCTATAATACTCTCTACTGGCCGTGGCAAGAAAAAGAACAAAACGAGAGAAGGAAAGCGCAGGCATTTTACCGCGGACACATTTCACGAACGCGACACCGCGATGACAATCTAGTAACTTGGTTTCGATGTACAAGAATATTGTGGTTTTTATCCGAAAAATATCCCGTCGCGCTAAAGCGCGGCAGAAATACGGATTTATTCATGCGAGTTTTTGATTTAGTCTGACGAAACACCGGGGTGCGTTAGAAAATATTTTTGCGAAAAAAATGAGCTCCTGGTTTAAAAACGCTCCGAAATTTAGAGAGAAAAACGTTTCTTCTATTTAGAATAATGTTTTCGACTTCTGTGTGTAGAATATTGTTTTTTGTAACGCACTTCCAGAGAGAAAAGTGCGTGAGTATTACAATTTCAAACTTTTGTTTAAATAAGTAATACAGTTAACGGAATTAATGACATGTATTGTGAGATCCAAATCAATATCTGGATCTCATTTGTGTAGTCTAGTTGATTTTATGCTTTTTTTTATTAGTTCTGTGGTTTAAAGAAAGAAAAGCAAACAGATGTTGAAAATAGTGAACAATATTTCCGCTATCTATTACTTTTTTTTTTTTTTATTCGAGATTAAACTCGAATTAATTTTTGAACGATTCAGTTCGCCGATCAACTCGATTGAAAGAGACCGGACCGGAAAACATCCTAAAGTGATGAGCGGATTTGAATTCGGAATCTCTCCGTGTTCGCACAACTCTTGCACTCAGTCCGATACCAGTCAGGTTCGGTCGGTGTAGAATATTAAAGCGAATATTTACACCCTATATATTTTGTGGTTAACGTAGCAACCTGACACGGTCTTCGTACGACGGAGAAATAAATGGCTCGCAAACCATATTTCGTTAAATATCGCAGTTCTCAAGACGAGAAGTTATTACGTTTACGAGTTATACAGTAAATATATCGAAAAAGTTTTACTTTAAAGCACAAAACAAATTCTATTTCAGAAAAATTCTATTTATTCTTATCACGCATATTTCTTTTCTGGAAACAAGTTTTGTTGTAACGAATGCACGCTTTATCGATTATACAAATGTTTACCGCTCTTATGCGCCATCCACAATCGTATTATATATCGATAATAATGTTTCCAAGCACGTACGTACGGTTGGAGTGACCTACTTTTCGGCCGCCCAAAATACGCGTGATCCAAAATAGGATCGTCCGCGGTCGAATCAAAACTGGGAAATTGAG